TCTATTAGCCAATCTATTATACAGCAAGTATGAAGAGGCGCTTCGAATCAAGAACACTGCTACTGCCCTCGATGAAACGCTGCACGCGATGGGAGTAGAGAGCCGAGAAGCCGTTGAGGACTGGCTGGAGAAGGAGCGGGAGTTCTTGGATGGTTTGACCAAGGAGCCACCCGAGGAGACTGTGCAAATGGAGTACTACCAGGCACTGGTGGTGTTCTATGACCAGCAGTAAGCATGCACAGTGCTTATGCAGTCTCTTACTGACCTTGTTTGAAAGGGAGAAGGTCAACAATTTAAACCAGCTTAGGCCCTTGATTACCGTCGTCGACTACGCCACCGACGCCGCAGAAACGCGGAAAATAGAGACGCAACGACGGCATGCTACCGAAAAGCTCGCGAAGGCATTGGAAAACGTACAAGCCCTTGAACGACGACTGGAAACCCATCGATGGCAGCCAGGAGAGCCAGCGTGGGAGGCTGCTGCAAGGCTGGTCCGGTCTAGACGGTTCAATCGAGCGCTGGATGAACTGGAGGGGCTGGTGGTCTCAAGAATGTTTGAGCTCAACAAATGCCACATGGCAGGCACTGGTGAGTAGCTCTAATGTCATGTTTTGCAACTGACTGATGCCTTTATAGCTTACAAACTTAGAATGCACATTTCCAGGGCTTTGCAGACGCGTTCTAAAGCAGTCCGCGCCTCATTGGACCGATACAATGCTGCAGCTGCCGCCTCGATACCTCCCAAGAGGCAGCTCTCATGGGATGAAGTCGTGAAATACGCCTTCATCGCTGACTTCGATCTGCCTCGAGAAGGTCGAATCGACATCCGCAACGAGCTGTGGGCGCAGCCAAAGGGCCGGGCAGCGATGGATATGTATTTCAAGCTGTTGCGAGCAGACGAGGAGATCAAGCGGCTGAACATCGAGATACGACGGCTGATCACGTATATGGCAGATGAGTCTGCCTTTCTCCAACACCATGAGCAACGTCTGGTGGAAGAAGGCCAGGCTGCACTCGCATATCAAGTGGCTATTCATCGACGAGAGCGAGAGCGGTCGACGTGCATCACACGTGGAAGTTACAGAAGTTGGCCCGGCTTCCAGGATTCACAGGCTCTCTGGTGCCTGGGAGGAGTGTCAGTCGTGAGCGGGATGTTCCAACCGGCCCAGTGGCTATGGGCAGTGGTGCTGGTAGGGAGGAGGAGGAGGATATAGTGAGCGAGGACGAGGACGAGGACATGCTGGTAGAACAAATGGACAACTTAATGCGCAGTGTAGAGGACTAGTGGAATCATAGAGCAACTTAACAGACACATCAACTTAACGGACACGGCAACTTAACAGACATCGGACTTGTAAGAATGACAAGTCAGAATGATGATGTAATTGATATGGTGGATTCAGCACGCTGTGGGCTACTGGTAGGTGGGCGGGAGCGGCGGGCGTGCTCCAAAGATGAAGCTCCTATGGTAGCCGCAGGCGTTGGCAGGGCGGGCAGGCAGGCGGGCGCAAGGGGAGCAGTGCCAAGGGCAGGGCGGGGCGGGGGGCGGGGCTCCCGGACCGAGGCGATCGCTCGGCGTTACGGGGACCGGGATCCGAGCCCCGCGATGGCTTGGCGATCACTCGGTCCTGAGGGACCGGGCATCCGGGTACCGGGTGATGTCAAGCACCGGTACCCGGGTGCCCGTTGCTCACATGTCGCGCTGGCGCGCCGGGTCGCTGGATGATGGTGTTGATGCGGGTGATGCTCCGCCTGGCGCCGGACAGCCCGTCAATCACCTGTGGCAACAGGTGATGGATTGCTAATTAGCGTTGCTAATTAGCTGACATTAAGCTGCTCAGCCGCAGTTGCCTCTACCCCCTCTACTTAGAGGGGGGAGAAAAAAAATATTTACCACCTCTATTTAGAGGGGGTAGGTGGGCTATATAGGTGTCAGTTCAGAGTTTAGGCTGGTCTCTAGCTTAAAACAGGCCTAGGCCTTGTGGTCAGGTGCATTTAAATTGATTCAAAGGTTTATAATATTCATTCTGAGATTCTCTGGCTATTGTGCATAAAAATGAATCTATAAAATCCATATGTTATTATACATATAGTGGTCATATCAACAGCTTATTATTAGTGTCGTAGCAAGCTGTTTTTAGGTATTAAGAAAAATTGCACATGCTCCTGTTTGTTTTTAATAGATCATCTTTCTTTTTTACGACTCAATATCCTATAGCTAAAAAATCTCGGTGAGGACTCTGGGCCCTATTGTAAGACCTACTGTAACCACCTGGATGGGCAACAATCTGTGTTTGTCTTGAAGGGACATATTTGTTATGTTTCCTGTAATAAAGGCCTTCAGGTAGAATTCTAATCTGATTGCATTCCAAGTGAGCACAACTAATCGAAAACTTTCAGAACATTTTCCTGAGCAGAAAGGACAAGCTACTTTATAACACTTTCTAACAATGAGCTATTAGGAAAGGTGTGAGGCTTTTATTGCATGGCTCACTTAGGCCTTATTTAGTGCTGTTAGATTGTGACACAAACAGAAGCATGGGCTTAATTAGCAACACCAAAAAATATCTTGTTCCATTATCTTAGAGAAAATACAATGATTGTGTATTTACTAGCAAATCATTTAGATGTATAACTTGTCTTGCCCACATAAACCTGAATTTGCGAGCTGTAGTGGTAATATTTAGGCTAAAAAGCTCTAGGAATAGCTAGAATAGCAGTAGCCTAGAAATCTAGGTATTCCTAGTCCCCATGTTTTAGCAGTGTAATTACTATAATATTATTCTTTATTTATTTATTTTCTGCCTTGATATTGCCTTAATTTTGATGAGGATTGTGATCCTTAATATATATTATTGATGTGGAACGATTTTTGATGGCCATCAGTAGTTTTAATCACTGTGTCAAGCTATATCATTTTGGTCCCAATTAGGATAATCCTGAACACAGGCCTTCCCCACTATATACCGGGTCATCGGCCTGAAGAAAAGGAGTTAGCATTACTATATATAGTATTTTTAGCATCAAATCTATCAATTGGATGTATTAATAACCCATTTCTAACATCTTTCTTAGCTAGGAAAAGTCTTCCTAGAGTTTTAGGCTACCACTATTCTAGCTATTCCTAGACCCTAGGCTAAATCTTACACCTACAGGTGAATTTGCTGCTAGGTTATCTGCACTACCAGGCTGGTGAAATACCTGGATGCCAGCCTCTTTGCTTACTAACTTGCATTACAGTTGTTTTATATTTTGCCAGTAGATCCTGAGATAAAGCAATGTTTGGTTGTACATGTTCTGAATAGATAGGTCATGTAGTGCTGATCCTTAGCTCTTTCAAAAGTTGTACTCAGTCTTTGTATTAATAGCAACTCTACTCAGTCTTTTGGTTAAATAAATAGTGAGATCTTAACAGTGAGATGACACTTATCAGGAGGGTGGGAATCAAGAGGTTTTGCTTTATTTCTGGACGAAAAAGTCACTAAGGTAAATATGAAGCTACTGGTCATATTTAAAAGGGCACTGTGAGAGGTACTGTGAGATTTTATTCAATTCAAATGGGGGGCTGCGACACATTGATGTCTGAAAGATTTGTATGATCTTCTATATTCAGTAATTTACGAAGGCACGGGAATTCTGAAAAATTAGCATTTTGGGAGACAAAAATTCACTTAAACATGTTAGACAAGTTTTTTTTTATTGTTAGTTTTACAGAGAAGAAGTTTCTTAAGTAAACTTGGAGGGGCAATTTAAATATATTCTTGCACAGAGGAGATAATAGTAAAAGATTTGCATATATGTAACATATGTAGTCTATTGCAATTACTTAGAGGTTTTAATATCATCCACTCCATACAAAAGACTTGTAAGATTACCATATCTGGCACCTCAGGCTAGGCCTACTAGGCTTTACTAACCCTTTGAACCCTAGGCCTAAGAGGCAGTACCCATGTTGAGACCATAAAGATGGCAACATTGAGATGGAGAATGTTAAGGGCTCTGCAGCTGCAATAACATCTGTCTTTATAAGAGGCAAATAAGTTCTCTTATGTTTCCTAAGCCCTGTTGATGAGCACTAACTAAGGTATGCTAATATGTTTATCACCTCTTTTTACCATATCTATGCCGTTTTTTATCTTGCTCTCTCTAAGGATTTAACATTTCCCCAGGCTATTCCATAGACTAATGAGCTAGATAATGAAACTACTTATTGTCCCATAATCCAATACCCTTTTTCATGTGCATGTCACAGGCAGTCTTTGCCCTTAACTAGTGCTGCAGCACTGCTGCTTGATCAAGCCCCATCTCAAAATATGTATGAAATGTTACCTAGGATATGTGCACTAAGGTATGAACAGTGCCATAGTTAACTTATGTGATCAGAACCCTTACCAGTGGATGTACAGGTCATATATAACCATATAACTATGTTATTGGCTACATTGTCATTCCCCAACCTGTCTAGAAGGATACCATACCATACCAAGTTGTTCAAGATGAAATTATAATCTGCTAAAACACGGGTACCTGCACCCATAGCCACGGGTACAGGTCATCGGCAGGTACAGGTACGGGCCACCCTGGATTTACCCGCGAGTGGCCCGTGACGAACTGTCACGAACACTAAGTTGCCCTACGCAACGCCCATCTGATCTGCCCTGGGGCCTAGCGCCCACCCGATCCTATCCAGGCTATCCCTAATACTCGTTTGTATAAAAACCATACCTATAGTATGTAGACCACCCGCAGTCAGACACCCCGCTGATTCGAAACAACCCGAGCCCAGCGCTGACCAGTCAACTCTCAAAGATGGCCAGTGTAATTCAAGAGATTGCATGCATTCCAATAAAAATTCTTATCAAAAACAAATGAGTGTACGAGTGGTATCGATGGTGGGAAAATAAAATGAGTGTGTATTGTATCTAAATGAGCCAGCACAAACCAGAGGAAAGAGAGAAGAGAACCGTTACTGTCTTGCTTTTTGGTGTGTGTTTCTGCGCTCATAGGTCCTCTCCGACGGCGTCGACGACATAGAGCACTGCGGAAGGGCGGACGAAAAGCCCACGCGCGCCACCCTCGTTCTCGGCATCGGTATCAGAGATCGCGGGGCTGACGCTACGCAGGCGCTTCACGCGCGAGCCGCCCAACAACTCCCCCGCACGCTTGTTGCCCTTCACTGTCCCGCCCCCGCTCGCCTCGGCCCTGCGGCGCTTCTGCCCCGAATAGCTCTCGTCACCATATCCCTCCTCTTCTTCCTCACGCATCCCAAGCTCGAAGTAGCGAACCCCACCCCAGCTTCCGTCGCACCACTGCCGTTTAGCGCTCGCGGGCATGCCCTGGGCGGTCCCCGCGGGCACCTCCACACCGACCCAAGCGCCTGCCTCGCCCGCGACTTCGCCAATATACCGCGCATAAGCTTTGAAGCGCTTGCGTTTTGTCGAGACGATGCAAGCAATCCCAATGTCGAGCGAGATCCCGAGCGGGGCTGCGGTGGTGTCCGAGTTGGTAGCGGGGGTGGGCAAAGGGGAAGGGGCTGGCGGGGTGTTGTTTACACGTGATGGCCTGGAGGGAAGGCCCTTGACGACAGTGGCCACCGTGTCACCTGACCCGCGCCTCTTCACCCCCCGAAGCGTCCCCACGCTCGCGGTACTGGCGGTGCTTTCTGTCTTGCGGTGCTCTTTCTCCTCGACTGACCCGACGACTACCTTTGGTGCTTCTTTCTCCTTCACTTCGGTAGCCGGCCGGCCACGCTGCTTGAGCACAACGACCTTCTTGGCCGAACTCGTCGAACTTGTGCCGCTGACGCTCCTTGCTTTTTGTGCTGCCGCTGCCGCTTTCCTTGCCGCGCTCGCCGCCGTCTCTCTCTCCATCCCACTCGTCACGCTGTTCGCCACGCTCCTCACACTTGGTGGGCCCTTCTTGCCAGCCCCGGCCGTCCCTGTCGTGCGGACCGAGGCATCCGACGCGACACTAACCGTGCGTGTCCTGCTGGCCGTCCTTGCCCGAACAGGGCTGTTCCCCGCCGTTGTGTGCCTGCTCGAAACTGAGCTCTGTCTTGACCTTGACCGTGCCGTCGCAGTCCGGAACTCGCCGGTCGTGCTACTCGCGGTACTCGCTCTCGATACCCGTCCCGGACTTGGCGGCGGCCGCAGCCCTCCCTTACCCGTCGTAGTCGCGGTTGTCTTTACCGTCGATGTTGTGCGATTACTCGCTGCAGACGTCGGCCTTGGTCTCGTACTGGCTGCACTCCGTGGTCGGGCCGTGGTGGCCGGGGCAGGCGAGAGACTGACACTAACGCTAGCCACAGACCGCGCATATTTTGACTTTGGCGTGCTGGGGCTGAGCGAAAGTGTGGGCGAAGTCTTCCCGGTGCTCGTTCGTGGTGACGGTGGAACCGCACGGCTCGGCACCGGAGGCCGGCGCACCGCCACAGTCGGGCTCGGCGGCGCGCTTGTACTAGCACCACCGAGGCTGCGAACGCTAACCGCGCGGCCTTTGCCTTTATTGACAGGTTCGGGGGGTGTTAACTTCGAGTCTGGCCGATCATTCTCTTCTTCGCCGTCTTCGCCGTCCCCCTCTGCCTTTTCCCGCCGGACGCTCCGGGCCCCGCGTGGTGTAGGTATGCCCTTGCTTAGGACACTGACTCGCATGCTGCTCTGCTGCGTGTGTATGCTGAGACTGTGTGCATCGGCCTCCTTCGCAGCGAGCAAGTGCGCTGATTTGCGCGCGGCTGTGGCCGTTGCTGCAGTAGGCTGCCGGGCATGAGCTGCTGCTGACGCGGCGGGCATCGCGAGGAGGAGGTCGTCCATCGGAATTTCCAGGTCTATTATAGATTGGTGATTAAGAAAAAATACAGCTAACAAAAAGACTCACAATCTGCAATTTCGCGTATCGCCCAGCCATCGACTCCGTCAAGACCACCTTCGCGCGCGACACGGTCTGCCCGACCACGCCCGCCACGCTTGATCCATGCGAGCACTTCCGTTCTGTCCTTGTCAGCGAATGCTTTAAGGAAAGTTAATCACTTACTGTGCTTGCTCAACCTGCACCCTAACATGGCTTGTTTGCGCTAACAACGGCTGTTCTGGAGCCTCTTCCGCTTGTTCCTCCCCCTCCGCGCGCGGCAAAAGCAAAACATTCACCAGCGCTTGGTACACCCTCCCCGCATTGCTCTCGCCCACTCCCCTGACCACACTCCGCATTGCCCACTCCACGCGCTCCCCGTCCTCAAACCGCACACCGTCCGCGGCAATAATCGCGCCCCAGTCTGCCTCTGCTAGCACCGCCGCCGTCTGGTCTGCCATCACCTTATCGACCTGACTCCTTCCTGCCTCTACCAACGGCTTCACGACCTCCGTCCACGCATCCACGAGCGGGGCCAGCCGCGCTCTTGCCGCTTCCCCTGCCCACAATATGGCCAGGGCATTGGCCGGCGTCGTTCTCTTGGCTAATCCTTTCAGGGCCGCAGCGTGTAGCTTGGGTGGCAGCGCTGCAAACTCAGGGGTGCACCACCCCGGCCCGAATAGACCGACGAGCGCGCGTCTTGCCCCGCGCTCCAGCACTGGGTCCAACACATCCGGCCGCAGTGCGAACTCGAGTATCCTTGGGACTCGAGCCGCGCATTTTCGGCACGTGCACCCGCCCGCCCGCCACGCCCCGCCCGTCAGCGCCTCGTAGGCCGCAAAGGGCAGTGCTGCATGGAAGAGTCCGTGAGCCATCTCGGACACGATGCGCGCTTGCACCTCAGTGTGCAGGGTTGGAATGGAGAGGTAGTTGGCGGAGAGTAACAACGCGAGGGCGGTGGTGAGGTCGTAGGTGCGGTGAGAAAAGACGAGTGTGCCGGTGTAGATGAATCCGAGAGTGAAGTGCAATGAGGCGGGAGTAAATGGGGGAGAAGGGAGGGATAATGTGGGGGTGTCGACGACTGGCTTAGACGATGGCCACGAAAGCAGCGCAGTGTGGAAGTATTGGCAACGGGAGGCGAGAATGAACCGGTGCGATGAGAAAACAGGCATCTGCCTTTCGTGCTCGTCCTCATCTGGCCCGGGCGCAGGCAGCGGTCCATTAGCCACCAACGCAATCCGCACGTCCGAATAGAGCCTCGACCGCCACATAAACACGAGGTCCTTCCTCAGTTTATCGATCCGTAAATCCTCCGCTGCCAGCCCTTCATCTGCCTGCGCCTGCTCGTCGAAGAGGAATTCGAATGCCTCGCCAAAGCCCTGCCCGGTATATAGGTACTCGAGCTCGTTGGCAAACAGCGCGGGGCTAATTGTCGTCGTCAACCTCGTAATCCCGCCCACCGTCGCGGCAGCCATCGTCGGGACTTTGCCATCGTCTTCGTCTCCCTCATAAGCCAGCGAGATCGCGGACCGGCTCAGACCCTTGCCGTCCTCCTGTGGCCGGAACGAAAAGTAGCGCGTCTGGAACGACGGTGGCGCCCGTGCATACACAATAGCTGTCTGTCATCAGCTTATTGCCTCAGTAGAAGGCGCAGCCATGCACCTTTATGCCCCCAGACCTCATCCCCGCCTTCCAGCGCCCAGACGACGTCCGGAAAGCGCTCCTTTGCCCTTCGGAAAAGCGCCGCCATGTCAGTCTGCCACGCGCCAGTGGCCCCCCGCGTCGCCTCTTGCAGCGTTGCCGCGTGCTGCCCCGCGTCCGTCGCCATCGCTGTGTGCTTTGCTCCGTGTGCTGAGGGGTCGGTGTCGTGAGGAAAAGGGAAGACGAGAAACACGAGGCGGTGACGTGGCTGTGTCGCGGGTGACGTGATGGTCACATTGACGTGAGATTTTCGCTGATCACGTTCTCCCGAACGACCGCAACGCCGCGGCGTTGCAGGCCTGGGTATTGAAGTGAGAGGGCTCATTGTGAGTAAGTCACCAATGTGATTCAGGCTGTTTCAATCATCATGACTCCTGCCTATCGATCCACAATCCCTTGATACTTCCCGACACCGCCCATGACCACATTTCCCAGATATTGTGAAGAAAATAAAAGGACATAAAGGAAGCATTGCCCTGGCTGTGTTCATGTTGAGGTCCTGACAATGTTGTCCAGACATTTCGTAGTTGTCAAAAATGATATTGAGCTGATATCTTCTTCTCAGCAGGTGCTGATGTGTATCAAGTCATTTTTTTTCTGTTCTAATACTCATCATATGGTTATGATACTGCCTTCCTCTGCCTATAGAATGCCTAACCTCTGGTAGTATTCTTGTTGCTGGTACCTATTCATTGTCAGCATGTGTAAGGGCAACCCCGGAGGCCTGAGATCAAGGTCCTAGCAGGGGAGGATCCAAAGAGAAGAAACTCTAAGGGTCCGCCTGCTAGGTAGCTGACTATATACTGCTTGTCCGTAGCTGCTGCTGTCGGGCACAGAAGGCTTGGGCGGCGTTGCAGGTGAGGTCCCAGGGCAACCGTCGGGAGGGCGTTGACGGATCAGTAATTGTGTGGGCGAGATGGAGGGTCGGACCGGAGTCGGACACATCTCCGAGGGGGCCGAAAGGGGGGTTCCCTGACATCACCCCCCCTTTGAATCCGGCATAGACCTTCCGGTCCGAACTTGAGTCCACTGCGAATGCGCTCAAGCTCTCCCTCTCAGGCCGGGTCGACTGCGGAGCAACTTCGGACCTCATTGACACAGAATACGTCAACTGAAACAATGTGCCAGTCCGAAATCTCTCAGTACCCATTCCGGTCTACAATGTTGACGGTACCCCTAATGACGCTGGGTCTATTCGTCAAATCGCGGACCTGGTCCTACAGTACAACGGGCATTCCGAACGTCTTCAGCTGGCTGTAACCCACCTCAGGAAACAGGATTTGATACTCGGATACTCCTGGCTCAAGAAACACAACCCCGAGATCAACTGGGAAATGAAAGAGGTGAAAATGAGTCACTGCCCCCGAAGCTGCTCCACTTGCCGCAACGAGGAATGGACCGAACACGCTGAAGTTCAGCGCCTCCGACTCCTCAAATTGCGCTTGCTCTCGGGCGCCTTCCCCACTGTTTGCGCTATCGATTTCGCCGACCCAGACGATACTGACGACGAAATCGGAGCTAGTTCGGACCCTCCGAGTCCCTCACCAGATCTCGACGACGATAAGCATCTTGAAGACGGCGACCGCATCTTCTACACCTCTTTTCGCCCGGCCAAGGAGATCCGCGCTGGGAGTACAGTGTCCCAACGCCTCGCAGAAGCCTTCGCCCATAACTTGCCCCCCCCCGCCTTTGGAGATTCCGGACTGGGCCAAGGAGTTCCAAGACGTCTTTGACAAGGAGTCCTTTGATACACTACCAGAACGAAGGGCTGGGACCACGCTATTGAACTTGTCCCCGACATGAAACCCGCTAACTGCAAGGTGTATCCGATCTCTCCCCTTGAACAGTGCGAACTCGACGCATTCATCGAGGAAGGACTTGCCACCGGCCGTATTCGCCCTTCGAAATCTCTGATGGCTTCCCCCTGTCTTCTTCATTAAGAAAAAGGACGGAGGACTTCGGTTTGTCCAGGGAAGAAATCGGTCAGCGACATCTTGTTTTGATGAGTAGTCGTCAGCTTTAGATGCGCTGCCTGTGCCACTTGAACGAGAGTTCCAGCTCCGCAATGAGGTTATCGAATGTATAGGTAGTCGCCAGCACACCATTCTTAAGGGTTCGCTTTTTTTCCAATTGCGCACCCAGATGGGAGAGGGGAGAGGGAGTGGGGCGAAGAATTTCTTGAAGACTCCTCAGAAGGAGCCCCTGATGAGAGGTCAGGGATCAGAGCGGGCGGAGAGCGCCACAGAGGGTGGACTGGAGAGTCCGTTGTCGGGGGTCCAAGAGACCTGTTGTGTGAGAGGAATCCACCGGGGCCTTCTACGACACACCCCGCGCTGGACGAACTAGGGTTCTCCGAAGATTGCCGCTGTGCTCCTTGTAGCAGCTATGACTCTACGAAAGCACCTGGGTTGAGCCAGACATCTTTCTGGCAAGTATGAAGTGCATGTCCTCTCGAGTTGGTCCCTTGGATTGGCGTCTCCAAGTGTACCTAGCCAAAAAGAAAAAACCTAGAGCAAAAGACCTAGAGTAACGACCGAGAGCAGAAGGGGAGAGGGCGTGGGAAAGAGGCATGGGAAATTTGGCGATAGTAACGGGGTAGTGTCAGGGGAAACCCTGATGCCGTCACTTGATCCCATCAAGCGCTACGTCTCCGCTCACGTCTTCTCGTCTCCACTCGCGTCTCCGTGTCTCCACCCGAGTCTCTGTATTCCTGCACCCTGACACTCCTCCTCCACTTCTCCTACCCCATCCTGCATCCAGTGGTCCCCAACCTCTGACTGCCATGGCCACCCCCTTTCTGGGAGTCTCTCCGGAGTCACCATCAGGGATCACTAATGCCATCAGAGACCTCTCCGGATGTGCCCGCACCACTTTCCTCTGAGACCTCGAGCCTATAGCCTTATAGCCTCTCTGGGCTGTCGCTCATCGAGGTCTCCCTGCAACCTCTACCTGTTGGACCTCTTGGGTGTCCCCAACCTACGTCAGTGTTTAGGCTTACGTTCGGATGGCTGAGCCCCCGCCATGGCTCCCCCCCCACTCCGCCACCACGGCCCCCGTCATCGGGTCTTCCTTTGGGTGAGGCCTACTGCCGTTAAGGCTCGTGCGTACTACAGCGCCCCAGGCTGCACGCCCTCACACCTCCACCTCTCTGGAGACGTCCGGGGACGTCTCCGAGTGACCCTCCTATCGTTACCCTCCAGTGGTCATGGCTGGCCGCCATTCTCATTGGTCCTCTCCGACACTCCCTGGCCCTTGGGCTAGACCGACTCCTTCCCTCTCCGCTCCATGCCACCCCTCTCCGTTGCCAGCCGTCACGTCACGGTCACACACCCGGAATCAATTCCGATTCCGATTCCGGTTGTCACGGTCACGGTCACAAGCAGAGACGCCCAGAGGCAGTCTGGACCCCCTAAAGCCCTTCCTGGGCCTTCTAAGGATGCCTGGGCTCTTCCCTTGGCATCATGGTCCCAAACCTGCCTCTCCGGAGCTTCGAGGGCTACTCGACACTCACCTAGGGTCCATTAGCGACACCTGACTTCTCCCATGCGTCGTTCGTTGCTATGCAGTCACTCTATTATTACTCCGGTCACTAGTATATAGTAGTGCACCTGAGCAGAGGGCTTCTTGGCTTGCTCTCTAAGGATTCCCCCTCTGCTCAGGACTCTGATTTCGAGCCTCGCGAGGTTGCCCTTACAGGTAGGGGAGGGGTTTGGGTAGGTGGTAGGAGGTACGGAGGTAGGAGGGTAGGAGGGTAGTCTTCGAATTATATCACAAACAACACCAATTTAGAGGATGCCAGTTGGCCAGTGAAGGCAAGCAAGAAGCACCATGAAAAGATATCGTAAAGATGATGGAATTCTGGGGTACAAGACAAAATCTGCTCTACTTATATACACTACTACCATGTGTTTACCATGCCTAATACGAGCATTGACATCTGATAATCCAATCACCATCTTATCGTCCATCTTATCTCCTCCTTGTCTTATCTTATCAACCAGGGCCAAGATAAAAGGTTTAAAGGGCGAAGAAAAAGGGTTTTTGAACCCAGGGTTTGACATGGTGATCAGTGCAGAGTGGGGACAGCAAATGAGCTCTCTAACCAACCTAACCAACAAAAACAACTAAACTCCACTTTTCGTAGAGAGAAAGATGTATAATGTCAAGTAGGAAAAGTCATAAAACCCAAAAATCGTCAACTTCTTGTGCGAGAACAGGCCCCTGTGAATGGAGCCTTGGCACAGATGTATAAGGTTGTAGGGTAGATATAAGTTTCTTTGCGAAAAACGTTGATTTTGAGTGCCCCAAAGCGTACTATTGACGAAACTCCGCAATAGAGAAGCGCCAATACGATGTCCGGAGAGTTTATACTTGTTGGATCAGGACTGACTGCCTTACACCCTCTGAGTTGTCTCGAGTCAGGAACTAACTGCCTTGAACTCTTGACCAGCAACCGAAACCTAATAAACAGCAACTGGAACTCTTGTATTCAGCAGCTTATCATCTCCCCAGTCATCTTTGGCAATACTCAAATTCAATCAACATCACTGAATTCTCTCCATCAGCGAAGATCCAGGATCAACACTTCGGACTCAAATTTTGACATTCTCTGTTGGATCTTCGGTTCTGACAAGCAAAGGCATTGTCGTGATCACTGATCTGCCCTCAGACAAAGAAATGCTTCCGTTCAGGCGCAGGTCGGCCGTCTCGCAAGCTTTCTTAATTCCACTGCGCATTTCCAAATCACCCAGACCCTAGTGCTACTAACCATTTTAAGCGGTTCCGCGACTGCGCGCAAAGAAGCTTCATTTCCCTAAGCCGGTGTATATAATTTTAGCTTCAGAAGCTTCATTGCTGTCACATTTTGTTCTTCACGTTTCTTCACGTCTTTTTCTTCTAGATATTTAAGCTGGCGCCCCCTCCTTTTTCGCTTATTCTTTCTTCCCTTCGCCCACCATGGCCAGTAAAAAGGCCTCCTTATCGAAACACGCCCCTGCTCATAACTTTTCTCCTGCTCCTATCCTTCCTCTTGTGCCCAACGCCTGTTTCTCCGTTAAGGGCAACCCTAGAGACTCTGACGAAAGCCTAGCAGGGGAGGATCCAAAGGGTGAATAAAAGCTACAGAAATACACGGAGGGACCGACCTAGCAGGGGAGGATCCAAAGAGAAGAAACTCTAAGGGTCCGCCTG